TAAATACCAAAAGATTCTTTTGTCTTCCTTTTAATTTTTGTAGAGTTTGTGTTATATACTTCCGTTTTTTTTCTTTATCTGTGTGATTTCGTTAAGGATTCTCTACTCTTAGCTAGGTTTCTTTTAGAATTTGGGATTTTACTTGCTATCTCCTCGATATTGTTACTGCTACTACTTTGGATCATCGGTTTTTTTTTTAGATGATTTTAGATATCAGTTGGACTTGGATATTGTTCTTTCATTTTCAATTATTTTTCATATTCTTGCTTTTTAAGATGATCGAGTCTCCTAAATATAAGTTGATTTGATACTGATATGTAAACATTTTGTCGATCTCATATGTTGGATGAGAGCTCTGGGTGAATTGATAACGTTGGTGTTGATACTGATGAACAATGATCCTCAACCTAAGTTTGACTCAAGTAGATTTGAAGAAATAGTTTTCGATCGAATAAGACTTTATCATCCAAGTCAATTGAAAGAAGAATCACCAAGCCACAAAGCTCGACTGTATTATGAATTACTAAACGTAGCCCAAAGGTCATCGTGGGAAAGTTGCACATCCCATTTTGAGTTATCTTTAGCTCTCAAAAATGTTGAAAACTAAAACAAAGTTTTACATGCCCAAGTGTGCTTCAATCTGTTTGCAAGATTATTAAAAGAGACCAATCCAAAGGAAATTTTGATTCCAAAGGACTTATGTAGGACAAAAAAGTTGGTCTCCAAGTTAGGTTTGAAATCACAATAGATTGATTGTTTTGTAAATAGAGGCATGCTATTTTTTAAGTTCAATGTAACATAGATTTAGTGTAGATTTTGTCATTCTCTTATATTCAAATCTCAGAATAAAAAAATGTAACAGGTAGAAGGAAGTTCCATACAAATAGCTCTTCCATCTACCACTTTTTCCACGCATTCAAAGACTATTTGCTTCTATTTGTATTACTCCACATATGACATGTTATCGTAGCATATCAATAAAAATTAATTCAACGAGTCATCTAACAGATCGAGAAGCATGAAAACATTTTGATCACACATATCCTGAATTTATTATGGATGCACGTGATGTTAGACTTAACTTATGTTTTAATGGCTTCACACAATATAGTCAAATTGTCTCGCCATACTCTTGTTGGCATTGATTATTACATCATATAATCTTTCACCTGAGATGTGTATGACAACATCATTCTTCTTTTTAACATTGATCATATCAATTCCCATAGCTCAAAAGAAATGATTAATGTATATTTGCAATCATGTTGGTGTGCAAATTCTAGGCGTACAACCAATTGATTCAAATTTTCCCTCCATCCAAACTTCTTCATCGCTTATCCATTTTCTCAATCTCCCATTCTTTTAAGAAAATGATTGCACTGATCTCAACCAATTTCAAAAAACTTATTGGCTATTGCCCATCTTCATCATCAAATGCCACATCGCATGAAGATTTTGCTACCTAGTAGCCATCAATTATTGATTCCACCTTCTCGTGACTCTAATCATTTAACTCCTTCATCATATGTCAGATTCCACCTTCTCGTGACTCTAATCATTTAACTCCATCATATGTCTATCATTACTCTAGGGGTGTCAATATTGAACTCCACACAAAAGCTAAACTTGAAGCTGACAATACAAATTTGGATTCAGGTCAACCCATGTAAGATTTAGGTTGAGTTCAAGTAAACTTATGTGACTTAAGAAATCAAGTTAAATTCATATTGTGACAGGTCAAGTTCAAGCCAATCTAAAGAAAAAAAAACTTAATTATTGACAGGTCAAGTTCAAGCCAATCTAAAGAAAAAAAACTTAATTATTTTTTTTAATAAAAAAACCTCATATGAAAATTTAACAATTTTCTATTTTTTTAGTTGTTTTCAATTTGGATAATCATGTTGTTTTTGGGTGACACTAACCAATCATAACTTACATTAAAAAAACTATATAAGAAAAAACATAAGTATTTATCAAGTTGGATATAATTCAGGATTGAGTCAAGTTCAATTAAAAAAGTTTCCTGATGTAATAAAAGTGTCTATTTTAGATTGATTATATATTCATATTGGATCATTTTAAAGTTATACTCAACTTAGATATGCAAATCTAAAATGGCACCTTATTTATAGCCCAATACTCGTATTCTAAAACCTATTATCTTGCAATATCCATAATCATCGAACGTTGGTAGTCACCCAACTCTCTAATCAATATCCATCATTAGGCTTCAGTTGAGAAAGAACTCCATTGCAAAGAATGCAAACACGTGGAAAAACTTTCATTTGGTGAAGCAACATCTCTTGAAATTTTTATGCAAAAACGATAATTTTTCACCGTTTTAGATCACAGCTGATCTTCTCTGTCAACAGGCGTGACTTTTAAAGGAGTTTTATCTCATTTAAACGTAGCTTCAATGCCAACATGTCCAAATTGCCATTTTCCACTACAATAATGGATAAACACAAATGTAGTTTCAATTGCTCTTTGGTAAGTCACGATGAATTCAACCTAATGATTTTTTTCTTCATCTAATTTTCATGTAAAAATTGCCCCAAAAGTACAGTGTTGAACTCTTTGATTGTGAGTGGAACAACATTCAAACGTAGGTTGATAATCTCATTCCCTCATCTATTGTGTGATGACACACACACCAACACACACACCCACACACACACACACCCACACACACACACACACACACACACACACACACACACATATATATATACCGTTTGTTGTGACTCTTTGGGAGTGCAGCCTAGCGTAAGCCCCCTTGGGTCACAGGTTCGATCCAACCTAAGTGCATATGCTCTACAGTGCGGGATCAAGTGGTTAGACATATGAACACACACACACACACACACATATATATATATGGATCGAACCTGTGACCCAAGAGGGCTTACGCTAGGCTGCACTCCCAATGTGTGTGTGTGTGTGTGTGTGTGTGTGCGCGTGGGTGTGT